TCCAGAAAAATAGACTCCCAATTTTATTACATTATTTGATGATCCGTACTTAGTATGGATGAATGGTTGTAGTTTACAAAACTATCGAAAGATTATTAACTATTTATATAAATAATTATATGGATAACAGTGCATGTGCAAACATTATTTTTTTTTTTTATTGAAAACAAAAGAAAGCATTATTGATATACTAATAAAATTTATATGTTTAAAAAATACTGCGTTTCATGGTAATTATTTTTTAATGCGACTTAGTATTCAATGGCAACATGATATTTTATGCAATAGGTTCGAGAACATTATCAATATATGGTTCAATGTGATTGTCCATGATATATTTTACAAGAAAATTTGATGCGTTTTCAATATTTGTTCCGTTTCGGGCTGATGTTTCGAAAAATCGAATAAAACTGTTGTCAATAATATATTGGTCCATTTGCCCTTTTGTTTTAAGCCATTCTCCGTTATTGCAAAGGTTAATTTTATTTCCAAGTAATACGCATGGAATTGGTTTATTCTCAGAAGTAAGAACTTTATCATCGATATCTTTTTCCATTTTGAAGCATTATCGAATGTTTGAGGTCTTAATAAATCAAAAACCACAAATGCTGCGCAAGCTTCTTTAAAATAAACATGAGTCATTTCTCCTCCAAATTCTTGGTCTGCAATATCCCATAATTGAAGACTAACAGTTGTATATTCTTCATAATCAATATCTTTAGTTGCAAAATCTACGCCGATTGTTAATTTATAAAAATCAGAAAAGTAACTTTGAACATACCGTCTAATCAATGACATTTTTCCATCATCGCCAACAACCAAAATTTTTACTATTCTCTTGATTTTTCCTTGATGATCTAATGTATTTTGATCAATTTTCATTTTGAAATGATAGTCTAATGAAATTGCAATGTTTTTGTGTTGTTATAAATTCTCAATAATAATATATTTCTATATTTTATTATTAATCATAATGATTTCTTTTAAATTTTTAAGATAATTATATTTTAAGATATAGAAAAAAAAATTCAAAATTAAGATTTTATTTCAAAAAGTCATTGCTTTTTAATCTTGCATTTAACCTGATGCTTATGCAATAGAATGATGTCATAAAATATTTTATAATATTAGATCATTATGATTAATAATAAAATATAGAAATATATTATTATTGAGAATTTATAACAACACAAAAACATTGCAATGTCATAAAATTTTTGTGTAAAATAAACGGTCGAAAGGTCAAAAAAAAGTGTGGGGATTTATTTAGAGATTTTTTCCATCCAAAAAAATATATCTTAATTATTAACACTGTAATTAATTTTCTTTCCTAAGTTTCCATTTAGTATATGTGTGTTGACTTTTAAGTTATATATAAAAAAAAGATCTTGAGGAGAATAACTTAAATATAGTATTGTATCTATAACAGTATTAGCTGGAACTAGTTGTAAGGAAAAGCTTTCCTATTTTCTGTCGGATTACTAAATAAGGTAGGTAAGAATATCAAGTAACAATGTAATTTCAAAGATATGCGATTTTATAAAAGCATGACCAAATTGGAAAAATCTTGCAATTCATGGTATAATACATCGGATGTACATTTGGTGATATCGGTCTTGAGAGTCTAAATGCGATAGTTGGCCTAATTTGCTACGATTTTAAGAAAAAAAATATTATAAAAAATATATAAAACTTTTTGATAACTTATTTGGTGGCGAAATAAACGAAGAAAAAAATAAATTCGAATAATTAATTATAATCTACAATTTTCTTTATTTATAATATCAATAATAAAATAAATAATCTCAATAATGTATATATTATATATAAATAATCTTTTTAACTATTGATAATAAAAAGATAAATATATTTTGTTTTTGTCATAATGAAGAGATATTTTTAATTCAAAATTTCTGAATGATTATTAAAATTTATCACAGTTATTTTTTGATATATGTATATATCATATAAATTAAATAATAAAATAATACTATTTTATGAAATAATGTTAATAATATATCTATATATAATAATAATCTTAAAGAAAGAATTTTTATTTATTTTAGGCAAATATATTATAAAAAAAATTATTTTACAATTTAATTTTATTAACTTTTTCAATTAATTTTATAAAATTCAAATTGAATGTACCAACCAATCAATTATACAAAAAAGTAAAATTTTTGAACTTTTTAATAACTTAAAATTTAAATACGTTTTTAAAGAAAAATTTGAATTGACTTCACTAATTTCCTCATTATATGTATAAAGATGATATCCAAAAAGCCAAAGATAATATGAATGACTCATTAGAGATCTTTGATATTAAGAAACAAGCAAATGAAGGGCAAATAGATGCGATTTTTGAATTTGCTAAAAAGTTATATAATGGAGAAAATATGCCTCTTGATAAGAAAGAGGCTGCAAAATACTTCAAAATGTCTGCTGATAAAGGACACTATAAAGGTATGTTCAATTATGCTTCAATGTTACAGAATGGAGATGGAATTCAAATGGATAAAAAGAAAGCATTCCAATACTACAAAATGGCAGCAGAAAAAGGCCATCCAAGCTCAATTTACAGTTATGCAATGATGTTACTTTCAGGTGATGGTGTTTCAGTTAACAAAGAAGAAGCATCCAAGTATTTCAAAATTGCTTCTCACAAAGGTCACGACGAATCAATGTATCAATACGCTTTAATGAATTATCAAGGTGATGGAATACCAGTAAACATGAAAGAAGCCGCAAAATACTTTTTAATGGCAGCAAACGAAGGCCATTTAGATGCAATGCTAAAGTACTCAATAATTCTTCAAAGTGGCGATGGAATTGAAATTGACAATCAAGAAGCTTTGAAATACTGCAAGATGGCTGTTGATGAAGGTTACAATGATGCAATATTCCGTTATTCAATGATTTTTTACAAAGGAATTGGAGTTATATGTGACAAGAAAGAATCAGCAAAGTATTGTAAGATAGCAGCCGACAAAGGCCACGTTGATGCCATGTTTCATTATGCAGGAATGTTATATGATGGGGAAGGTGTTCTCATGAATAAAGAAGAATCAGTTAAATATTACAAAAAAGCCGCAGACAATGGTCATAAAGAGTCTATGGAGAAATATGCTCAAATTTTAGCCAATGGAAATATTGTAGAAATGGACAAAAAAGAATCAGCACGTTATTGCAAGATGGCAGCAGATAGCAATCATGTAAATTCTATGTATTACTATGCTATTAAGTTGAAAACTGGAGATGGTGTCAAAATCAATAATCAAGAAGCAGCACGTTATTATAAAATGGCTGCAGATAACGGTCATATTGATTCAATGTTCAAATATGGGCTTATTTTAACCAATGGAGATGGAATCCCCGTTAATAAGAAAGAAGCCGTTAAATATTTCAAATTAGCAGCCGACAATGGACATGTAGACTCAATGTACCAATACTTCATCATGGTTAACAAAGGAGATGGAATTGAAGTTGACAAAGAAGAAGCCAAGAAATACTTAAAAATGGCCCTTTCAAAAGGACAAGTTGATCTTGCCTACGAATGCGCAGTAAAATTATATCAAGATCCAGGATTTGTTCAAAATAAAGAAGAAGCAGCCAAGTACTTCAAGATTGCTGCAGACAATGGTCATATCGACTCAATGTTCAGATATGCAACAATTCTTGAGGAGGGAGATGGAGTTCCAGTCAACAAAGAAAAGTCCAACTTTTATTACAGACATGCAGCAGATCACGGACAATTCGATGCCATTAAAAAGTATGCAATGATGCTGTATGAAGGAAAAAATGCAGACAAAAAAGAAGCAGCTCGTTATATAAAAATTGGTGCACTTCAAGGTGACGTTGATTTTATGGTAAAATACGCATCAATGTTGACAACAGGTGATGGAATTCCAGTTGATAAGAAGATAGGAGCGCGTTATTATAAAATGGCGGCAGATTCAGGTGATAGCGAATCAATGTTCACATATGCAAGAATTATGAAGAATGGCGAAGGTGTTGTAATCGATACAAATGAAGCATCTAAATACTTTAGAATGGCCGCTAGCAAAGGCCATGCAGAGGCTATGTACAATATTGCAATGATGCTTAGAAAAGGTGACGGTGTTGAAGTTAATAAAGATGAATCTGTTAAGTTTCTTAAAAAGGCTGCTAGAAGAGGTCACGTTAATGCTATGTATATGTATGCGATGATATTCGATTATGGTTATGATGTGCAAATTAATAAGAAAAGAGCTGTTAGACATTATAAAATGGCAGCTGATAATGGTCACGTTGAAGCTATGTTTGATTATGCTCTCAAATTGTTCAATGGAGTTGATGTACCTCAAAATAAGGAAGAAGCTGCAAAGTATTATAAAATGGCTGCAGATAACGGCCACCGTGAAGCTATGCATAATTACGCTATGATGCTCAAAAGAGGAGAAGGTGTTCATGTAAACAAGAAAGAAGCAAAAAAATACCTCAAAATGGCAAAAGCTCATAAATAAACTTTTTATTTGTGATAAAAAATTCATCTAATTGGTATTTGTTTATATAAGTAAAGTTTTAACTTTATTAAAATATTTGATAATATATAGTTTTTTAAATTTGCTGTTTTTAAAAATGGATATACTTTGTATGTTTCATATTCCAAATATATTCTTATTATTTATGTGTTTTTATGTTTTGATATTATATTATCAAAATCTATTTGCAATTAAATATAGATGCCCATTAAACTGTCAAAAAATATTTATATATATCAAATAATATATAAAAAAATAAGAATGCGATGTGGAACAAAAGGTAGTTCATGAGATTCATGCTCTCAGAGTTGATGGTTCGAATCCGTCCATCGCACTTTTTTCGTATTTTTTATTTTCTTTTTCTTGATTTTCATATTTTTTTTTTTTCTTAATGAATAAAACATATCAAATATAGATAACAATAAAGAATGAAGACTGAAGAATACGAATAAAAATGAAAATACAAAAATGAAAAAATACACAACTTGGGAATCGAAACCAGATATCGAGATTGGAGGCCCCATGCGCTAAACCATTACACCAGCCGCGTTTCTATTTATATTTGTATTTTATTGCATTAATTGATTTAAATGATATTTGCATTAATTTATACAAATTTAAAAATCAATACAAAAATCATTTTGAGAAAAATCAAACTTATGTGTTACATCATATGCAAATAGCATTTTGAATTTAACCAGCAGTTCCAAGTTCACTTGCACCAAATAATAAAGCCGCTTCTAAACAAAAACATTCTAAAAAAAAAAAAAAAAAATTGTTTTTATAACGATTATTTACTATAAACAGTAATAAAAGAATAACTCTAAAATATTATTTTTTGTTTTGCATTTCTTGTATCGTTTTCTTCAATCTGTTTATCTCGTCAGTTAGATCGCTCACTTCTTGCTGAAAGTGAAAATTTTGTGTCTCGAGGTTTCCGTTTTTCAGGACGAGTTGGTTCTTGCTGTTAGAGAGCTCCTCAATTTTTCTGAAAGTCTGTTTATAATTCTCGTACAATTCGTCGTACTTGCTGCTGTTCAACGAATTTTCAATGTTCTCAAAATGCTGGTTTATTTCTCTCTCAAAATTTTCAGTTTCTTTTCTGAAATTAACGGCCGCTTTCAAATCTTCAATTTGCGACTGAAGCGTGCTTATCAGCTGGTTTTGCATTGAATCTGTTTTCAGTGATTTGGTAGTTGTATGGTCAATTTGCTCTTTTAACGATTGAACGGTCTGTATGATAGAATTCTCATATTCATTAATTGATATTGATTCGTCTATTTCATGGCTTTCATTGACTTCTTGCTGGATATTAGACCATAAATTGGCCATTCTGGATTTGGCATTGTTTTCACCTTCTTTGATAATTAATGTAAGAAGATCTTTGTATATATTTATTTCGATCTCTGAGCCGTTCTGTTTGATTGAATTGTATAATGACTTCACTTGTGACGATTTTGAAGTTCTAGCAGCGTTTAAAATTGTTTCTTGAAGTGAATATAATTTTGAATTGATCTTTTGAAGATTTTCAGATTCAATTGGTGCAGTGTTTCCTAAAGTTCTTGTAACAAGAGGAGTTGACCTCTTTTTAAATTTGACAATTTCCTCTGCTAATTGGCGAAAAGGAAGAATTTTAATAGAATCGATTTGCTTTTGATAAACATAATTATTAGAATCATTGTTTAGTATAGATATTATAGTATTAACGGGCTTTTTAAGAGCATTTTCTAGATGATTTTTAATCAATGAATAATTTAATCCGTTCGGCGAGCATGAATCAATTAGATTTCGAGCTAATTTCATAAGAAATTGATCATCCGTATTCATCTCTGTCGATAAATCGTTCATGACTAATAATAAAATGAAATATGATGAAAGAGGAAAAACGAATGTGTTTAATTGAAAAATTGTAATGATTGCAAACATTTTCAATTGTACATTTTCAATTTTTCAAAGGAGTAAATAACCTAATAGAAAATAGTGTTTTCTTCATTTAATAAATGAATATTGATAAAAAAAAGTAGGCTGTTTTTAATTATTTACTTTATATAATATTTTTGTTTTATTATTATACTTTATTATAGGATGAATTTAAAGATTTAAAAGTCAATGATAAAAAAAATACTACTATTGTCAATTGCTTTTATGCAAAAAATAGACAAGCAAAGAATTATCTTATCATTTTATTTATATTCAAAGTTAAAAACTGGAAAAAAAAATTTAATAATTATTATCAGATTTCATGAATCTTTTTGGTTTTCAGACATAAACATCATTTAGACTAACTAGTATAATTATATAGTTAAATATAAATATAAATAGAAACGTGGATGGTGTAATGGTTTAGCGCATGGGACCTCCAATCTCGATATCTGGTTTCTATTCCCAAGTTGCGTATTTTTTCATTTTTTTATTTTCTTTTTTATTCGTATTCTTCAGTCTTCATTCTTTATTGTTATCTATATTTGATATGTTTTATTCATTAAGAAAAAAATATTAAAAATTGAAAAAGAGAAATAAAAAATACGAAAAAAGTGCGATGGACGGATTCGAACCATCAACTCTGAGAGCATGAATCTCATGAACTACCTTTTGTTCCACATCGCATTCTTATTATTTTATATATTATTTGATATATATAAATATTTTTTAACAGTTTAATAATTAAAAAACATACAAAAATTTATTGAAATAAAAAAATTCATATTTTATATGTCAGCAAGCAATGACTATCATGAAACTCTAACATTAAAATTATTAGATTCGAATAGCTATGATGAAGTGCCAAGAATTAAGCAAAACAATGAAAAAGAAAAAGATCAGATTAAACACAAAATTTTTATTAAGCGAATTGATATTTGGATTTATAATAAAATCCCTTTCACTTCAATCTGATTCTTTAAATAAGCTCTTCAATGAAGTTTCTCTTAATAAAGGTTTAGTTGGTAACAAATTATCCAAAAAGAAAGCTTCAGAAAAAATGACATTTGGATGGGAAAGAATGGAAATACATGGTCGATTATGTAATGCAGTGTTATTGATGTCACTTTGTTTCACAACATTTGGTGATTCCGTAGAATATTTTATATATTCTAAAAAGATTGATCATCCATTCTTGTTTATTATTGTTGGTGCTTCTGGTATTGTCATAAATATAATTGGTATGATAATCTTTCATGATTACAAAAAGTCATTCAACTTGACAGGTGTCTTTATTCATATAATTTGGTATTTTTTAAGTTCAATTTGTGTAATAATTTCAGCATCGGTCATCTATTTTACAAATTGGAAATATAGATATTATATAGATCTTGCAATATCAGCAGTTATAGTTATCTTTCTCTTTTATTTCTCAATTGTGTTAATTAAACAAGCTGCCAAAGTTCTCATTGATTGTGTACCTATAGATATTAATTTAAATCATATTCGCCAGTAATTGCTTCAAATACCTGGAATAGTGTCCATTCATGAGCCCCATGTTTGGGAAATGTCAAATAAGTATTATTATGGTTTTCCTCATGTTGTTGCCTCTTCAAAAGATGAAAGTCAAAGAATTATCTTATCTGTAAATGATGTTATGAAAATTAAGGGTGTCCATTCAATCACAGTACAACTTGAATATTTGGATGATTTTCCTAAAGAAATTGACTGTAATAATAAATGTTTATGTGCAGTTTCTTTTGGAAATGATAAAAGATGTTTTGAAACTTTGCCTGTTTACAAGCATAAAGTTGGATGTCCACATGTTAAAATTCCTGGACAAGAAGAAAGTTCATCATGCACTTCTCATGATCATAACAATGAAGAAAAATAAATTTTATATTCATTGTTGAAAAACAAAACTAATTAAATTAAATAGAATAATAGAGTATTTAGTTTTTATATATTTGATATTATTCATTTTGTCGATAAGCCCTGATAAGGATAAAAAAGTTGAAAAAACGTTCTGAATATGAAGTTTTTTTTGAGAGAAAAAGAAATTTTGTTTTCATTCAAAAAATGCAATGATATAAATTGAAAATTTTCTATAAAAAAATTATCATAATGATTATGTTTTAATTGTATTTCATTTGGTTACAATTTTTTATTAAAAAATATGAAAATGGTGGTTTTAATATTTGAATAACGATACTTTAATAATTCTTTTAATTTTTGAGAATGTATTTAAACTGAGTTCAAAAAACTTTACCTCCATTTCATATTATAAATCATTTTATCTTTTTTATCAAACAATTTAATTGCATAATTCTTCATTAATAATATATTAGATAATTATCATAATATTAATTAAATTTTAAAAAATTAATTCATATTTAAAATATAAAGATATGATTATTTTAAATTGAGAGGGAGGTAATTTTTTTTGAACCAGGTTTAATTATCAGTCAATTTGAATGGAAAGCCTTTACAATTTTATGAAATTTACTTTATAACAAAATATATCTCTCATATCATATTATGGATAATACGCATGAGCCTTTCGTCGATAATATAGAAAACAAAAAGAAAGAAAATTATGATCCAAATGGAAAAGAAACAGAAGATGTTGAAGCCAACAATGAAGCAATAAAACAAAAAGCACCAAAAAAAGACGATGAAAAATGTATTGAAAAAGTCGATTCAAGTTTAAATATAAATGAAGAAAAAAGTGAAAATACTGAATCGCAAATAGTTGATGAAGATCCAAAAGGAGAAGATTTAAGACTTGGAGGTAAAATGCCACTTATAACTCTACTCACTCTTAGTATTGGTCCTATATTATCACAAATAATATCATCTTTATTTGGAGTATTTAACTCGATATGGGTAACAAAGTCAATTGGGAAGCAAGGTCTTGAAGTTTTTGGTGCAGTTTTTATTGTAGATTACTTTCAAATTGGTTTTGCTCAGTATCTCATGATTAGTGTTAATATTCGAATATCTTATCTTTATGGTAAAAAACTAAGCGAGAAGTGTGGACAACTTTACGTTGACTTTTTAAGGTTAGCTTTTATTTTTGGAGCGCTTACAGCTGCATTAATTTTACCTATTACAAAACCAATTACTAAATGGCTTGGAGCGCCCACCAAATTATCGGAGATGTGTCTTCAATATATGCTTCCCGAAGCATGTCTATCATGTTGCAATTATTTGTATATGATTGGATGTGGTGTATTACAAGCAGAAGGCCATTCATTTTATTTTGCGCTAGCACAATTGACCACTTTTGTCTTAAATGTCGGTGTACTTGATCCATTATTCTTCCTTGTTATTAAAACGCCAATATGGGGATGTACATTAGCCACTGCAGTATCACAATTGACTGTTGGTTCATTTTTAGCTTTCATAATTTTAAAAGGGAAGTTCACTTTAAAGCCATCAAAAAAAATGTTTTATTCAAAATTTTCACCTGAAACAGGTCAAGCTTTGATCGTCGGAATTCCTGAATTAGTAATGGAACTTTCTCTCTCAATTCCTCTTGTTTTAATGCAAAAGTTTATCGAGAAGTCTTCTTATAAAATTGGAATATACGCTGAAGCTACTGAGTCTTGGGCTCTTACACAACGATTA